TATATATATATATATATATCTTAAACAATGGATATGGTAGAATGAAAAGAGATCATTCTAGTATTTGAGAGTGCATCGAGGCTAGGAAGCTGAGCGATGTGGAACAAGGTCAAGTTAATGGTTTATAATTTCAATTCTAGTATTTTTATAAAAATATATGTTTGAAAAGGTAATTTTATTAAGTTTGGAGAAAGTTTCATCGTGTAACTTTTTTGTATATTATTATGCATACTATTCTGGACATGTGGACTTCAAGAAAATAAAATTTTACCGATTAGTAGATAACATATAATGAATCGGCTTTTTATATAGTCATGGTGAATTTAATAATATTATGGTGGTAACCAAAATTTGGAGGATTTTTTAAAACTAGATGAGTTCCATGCATTCTATTAAATTCATTAGTTTTACATTGTAAGTGCATCATTATGCATTTCATCGCATTCTACAGCTCTATTATAAAAATGAAAGTGTATTGTAAATTCTGTCTTTGGGCTCAATACATATACATTTTATACTACTATGTTCTATTTTGACATTTAAATTGACTCTGCAATGGGAACATTCTGCTCTGCACCTGTTTCAGTAGGTGAAAGGTGGTAAATGGAAGCTAAGTGGGGATGGATACAAGAGCATTTTTGCATTGACGTTATCATATAATTTAGTCAGTTATAATACTTGAATAAAAAGATAAACTTTCTATTATCATGCATATTTTCAATTATCGGTTGTCGGTTGAATCCTATTATGGAGAAAGGTTGGCCTACTAAGTTCTGAACTTATACTATGATTTAAAATATTTCAAGCAAAGAAAAAATGGCCCTATTGAATATATAGGTTGGTTCTGAGAGTGAGCATGGATTCTAAGTCTGTAAGGTATCCTTTGCTTTGGTAGTTTAGGATTCATTTAAATGTTTTATTGAATTCATTATATTTTGAACTATTATTTTGTATCTTTAGATTAATGAAAGCTTGAAGAAGGTTATTATTAATTCCATATGCATTTATTATTATTTTTTATTTTTTGAAGACAAGATGCAATACAAGAAATAAATATATGCTTTATTAACATAATTTTTGGCAAAAAAGTCCTCCTAAATTACTATTGAAATCCTATTGGAAATTACCGACGAAAATTCTTCCGGTAATTCAGGAGAAATTTTTATGTCAAAATTCTGCCGGTAATTAAGCATCTCGGCAAATATTTCAACTTTTTTTTTCCTGTAATTGTTGTTTTATTTCAGATAGAAAAGTTCGTCGAAAATTCTGCTAAAAATGGCTCTATATCATCATCCCGAGCTCTTCTCCTTCTCCCAAATGACGATTTTTTCTCTACAAAAAACTCTCTCAGCCTCTCTATCGCTGGCTGCGTTCATGGTTATTTCTATAATGTTTAACTTCATTTTCTCTCTCCAAAAAAGCTCTTTCACCCTCTCTATCGCCTAGCTCCATTCAAGGTTATTTCTATAATGTTTAACTTCATTTTTTTGAGATTTGAAAGTTAAAACTTCATCTCTATGGCCATTTTAATTTTTTTTAGATTTCATCAATTATATTTTATAAAAAAATTGAGTTATACTTATTTTTAAGATTTTCTTTTTTCTATCTAGAATGACCTTAGAATTTTTTCTATGCAAAAGGTGAGCAACGTTTATAAGTGGGAAACTCAAATAAGTAAAAACCTTCCATTTTTTTTGTTGGTGGTCACCCTTTAAATTTACAGTCGTATGCGGATTTATGAATTAATGAAGATATTCTATTTTCTGGGCAATTCAAGGTCTTTGCATTAATGAGTTCATACATTGCCTACTCCATAATATGGAAGTGAGCAGAAAGAAGAAGAAGAAGAAGATGGTTAGGCCTTTGTTGTGGCGCTCTATATGAGGGCCTCATTGAACATATTGATTGTTGGAACTACTTGGTGTCTAATGCATTGTCTTTTTGCATTGCGGTGCCTATAAAAATTTTGGTTCGATTTTTTTATATCAACTTTTTCTTGTAAGTTGTAGATATAACATCAAAAAATTATCTTGATCGGCATGAATCTCGAGGCCAATTAAAGTTGGAAACTTCAAAATTAAATCGGAGACCATATGTACTCCGATTTCAGCAAACTTACAGTTGAATTGAAGGTCCTGATAATACAAACCCAACGACACCAAATTTGACCTAATTCAAGCTCAAATGGGTTCAAATCAAAGACCCTAAGTGCATTTGGAAGGATCAATCCAAAATTTGGATTAACAAACAGTTTTCAAATGTTGCGTACTTAAAGTTAAATCGAGTGGCTCAATGAGACGAATCCAATGAGCCTAAGATCGCCAAATTTTGAGATCATTAAGACATTCAAATGCACAATAAATGATCCATGATCAAGGGATTCAACATCTGTCGTCCATTCAAACCACTCTTAATTTATCCTTGATCTCTCACCAAGAAGAGAAGGAAGAAGAGGAAGAGAGTTCTATTGCAACCAGACTCTTCCTCGACCACCGCAAGACTTCCACCCGGCAGCCTTTTGAAGTCGGAGTTCTTCCTAAATGCCAATTAAAGCTGAAGTTCTGCCCGACCGCTAACTGAAGTCGGTGTTCTGCCTGACAGCCGACCGACAACAGAGTCCTGCCCAACCACCAAATGACACTAGAGTTCTGCTCAAATGCCAACTAACGCCGAAGTTCTGCTTGACATCCGACGCACGCTAGAATTCTGCTCGACAACCAACTGAGGTAGGAGATTTTCCCATCTATCGATTTTCATCGGATTTCTGCCAGACGTCGATGTTTCATCCATCGTTGAAATTCTATCAGACATCAGACTTTCGTAAGACTTCTACCCGACCCAAAACATCCACCCGTCGCCGGACTTTTGCTTGTCACCGGACTTATGTTAGTAGCTGGACTTTCGTCGGACTTCTACCTGACGCTAAACTTATGCCAATCTCAGGATTTCTTTCTGACGCCATACTTTCTCCTGTCACCAGACTTTTGTCATACTTCTACCTGACGCCAAACTTTTGCTCGTCATCAAATTTCTACCCGACGCTGGACTTCCGCCAGTTGTGGAACTTCTTTCCATCGCTGAACTTTCGTCGGACTTCTACCCTATGCCAAACCTTCACGCATCGCCAAACTTTTGATCTATGTCGCTAGCCAACTATGGACCTTTTGATCTCTTTCACTATACAATAGTCTTTATGACTACTTTCGTATCCATTGCCAGACAATGATCTTTCTAGCCACTGTCACCCGACGACTATGATCCTTCTGACCTCCATCACCAGACTATGGTCTTCTTGACCTCTGTTGCCCACCGACTATGGTCATACTGACCAAACTGATGTATGAATAGTGA